AGGAATTGGTTCAGCTGGAAAAATTACTTACACATTTTTACTTGAAGAGCACTCTGAAGCATTAGAAAGTGATGTTATTCTTTATATGAAACCAGCACAAAAATCTGCTATTTCTTATGTTGTACGAAATCCAAGTATCGATGAATATTTTAAAGATGATGGCTTACGAATAGTTTTATGTTCATATGCAATGCAAGCATCAACACCTGAATGGCTAGGTTATACAAAATTAGATGGAGTTCCATCAGGGGCGGCGGAACGTTTTGAATCTAGGGTAGGCTCAATATTTTTTATAGGAGCCTTACCGACAGGTTAAAAATAGAGAGGGTAATTTTTATGCTATGCCATTCAAATAAAACACAATTAGTACTGTTTATTTCGAACTCAAACTTTTTAATGCATACCTTTAGTGCAGATCAGTGATGAGTTTGCAAATTGTGGCAAAAACTTGTATTCAAAGAGTCACTTAAACTTTTGTTTTTGATTGAATAGTGACCTTCAAATATGATCTATCGGATGCAAAATTTTTGGATCCGAAACCAGGTTGGTAATCCTCGTACTCTCAATGCAATTTTTTAACTCCCAATCTGATAATTATTTGAAAGATACTACATTTTTTTCGATTAATTTTTCGGTGATCAGCATATCCTACACATTTTCCAAAGAATTTTAACGGTAATCTCGTAATAACCAAGTTATAAGTGGCTCTTACGTGCAGCTAGAGTCCGTCAGGTCTGAATTCGAGGACCTGTACCTGGGTCCAGATCTGACTCTGGTCAACAAACAAATTTCAGATCCAAGCTCGAAGTCGATTAGATTTTGAACGTATCTGATGAGCTGCAGCTTGAAAAGAGTTTTTGATTTGTATTACTGGAAACTAGGATTATGACAACGTAGCAGTGCTCACAGAAAAGGAATCTCATTGTGAGATTGTTCAGCGTGTTGAAAATATTTGATTGGCATCTGAGATTAACTGCAGAGAGAGGAGAGAATTTTGGCGTGACACGACATTTGCGCGCGCGACATTTGCGCGCCGACACTTGCGCGCCGACATTTGCGCGCACGACACTTGCGCGCACGACACTTGCGCGCGCGACACTTGCGCGCAAAATGATTTGTTCTGCGCTTGACTTCGGTCTGGATTGGATATGACTACGGATATTGCTTAGAAAATAGATGCTGGCTGTGCGTGTGGCTGTGAGGATTAAGTATTACCGTAGTCTCAATTCCAATCATTCATTGAGGAATTCTGGAAGAATCTTTCAGGATCCTTGACTTCACGGATCTTGTCAGGTTTTCTACAAGATCCTGCCGCATTTCTTGATAATTCGTTTTTCCAGGGTTTCGCACGGGGTCAAGAAACGTGGGCTCCAAACTGTGTAAACTCCAAATTGCGTAAAGTCTAAATTTCGAGCCCATTTTCTTCTCAGTCCCTCTGCTATGATTCATAGCACCATCTAGAATGCTAGTAGCATTTTCTGGGATGCTACTTGCATTTCCTCGGATGCTAATAGCATCATCTGAGATGCTAGAATCATCATCTGTGATGCTGGTAGCGTTCCCTGGGCTGCTACTAGCATTCAGTAGGAGACGAAAGCATTCTCTGGAATGCTAGTAGCATTTCCTGGGATGCTGAAGCATTTTCTGGAATGCTAGTAGCATTTCCTGGAGTTCTAGTATTGTTCTCTGAGATGCTAGTAGCAGTCACTGGGATGGTAGAGGCATTCTCTAGGATGCTAGAAGCAATTTCTGGGATGCTAGAGCCATTACCTACGACGTTAGTAGCATTTTCGGTCATGCTCATAGCATCCCAGGCAATGCCTCCAGCATCCCAGCCAAAGCCTCTAGCATCCCAGATGATGCCCATAGCATCCGAGAGAATCGATATTAGCATCCTAGGTATTATTAGTGGGATCCCAGGAAATGCCTCTGGTATTCAAGGTAATGCTACTAGTACTCTAGGTGGTGCCACAAATCATAACAGAAGGATTGAGAAGAAAAGTGAGTTCCAAATTTGGAGTTTACATGCGGAGCTCACTTTTCTTGACCTTCTCAGGGTTAGGCAGGGTCCTGTTTAGGATCTATCCAGGTTCCTATCAAGCTATTTTTCTAAATCATGGATGCAGGATCCTACATGGATTCAAGCTTAATCCTGCTTAGTATCTTCACAGGAATAATAGAGATGATTCTTTCAAGATTTGATGCACTTCGGACGCAATCTGTTCAGAATCCTGACTGGATCTTGCTAGGAATACTACCAGGATCTTGAAATTCTGTGGCTAT